GCCAGGGAACGAGTGACGGTTCGGAGGGCCCTGGCAGCGCAGCGCTGTTTCGTAAGCTATAAATAGGGGAAGCGCTTCAGGGCAGAGAGAAGCGGGTCATTTGCTAGCAGAGCTCCCCCCACGCGCCGCGCCGAAGCCAGGCCCTTCCCAGCAAGACCCCTCATTAGGCGAGCCCGGTGGCAGGCCCCATCGTGACTGCGAGGCCAGTGCACAAACAACATCCACCCGCGGCTGTTTCATCTCTGTTCAACCCAACACCCGAAACGGGAGCAGCGAGGAACCCGAGGAGAAAGCTGCTGGAAACCTCCCCGCACGATCAGTCTGCTGGGGCCGGGCCGCTGAGCCGGGGCAGGGCTGAGCAGAGCGCGGTTGCCATGGAAACAGCGAGGCTGCGTTTTAAAGGCGAGCAGCCCCCCTGCTTGCAGTTTATATTTATGAGGAGGGTGACATGGGCCATTGCAGAGTGATGTCAGGAGAAGCAGGAGCAGAGAAGGCTGCGTCACGCCACGGCTGCAGGCAGGCGTGGGCGGGATGGGAGCCAGGCCGCGCTCTGCTCAGGGACGCAGAGCTGGCCGCCTTCCCTGTGCTCCTTGGGGACCAGCACAGGGCACCTGTGTGAGAGCCACCACGTCTAAGAGCCCCTTGCCCCAAAAGCCACCAAGCAGGAAAGACCTGCAGCCTGTGTGCAGAGGTGCAGGGTCCATCTATCTTTCAGGACTGCCCTGAGCATCCCCACTCAGCTCCCAGGGGCTGCTAAGCAGCTCAAGGATGACTCTGGGTTGCTGATGTACGGCCGGGTTGTCAATATATATGTCACAGGGCTCTGGGCCAGCAATAGGAAACATCAGAAGAGAGTTTATAATCTCGGACTGGTTACCAGATCTTCCACGGGCTTTAAAGCCAACACGCTGGCAGAGGCGTGCTCTCGCAGCACGAGCGGGAATGCCTGTCACCCATCCCAGCCTTGCTATGAACCCCCTCATGCAAATCCCAGAGCCTCACCCTCTCCTACCTTCCATTTTGCATGGAGAGTTCATGAATCCAGAGGACACAGAGGTGCCACAGGCACAGACTAGCTGCTGATCGCAGCTAGGAGCGCTAACGTTGAAACTACTCTCTGAGGGTTGGCTCGTGATGTGCCTCCTGGTTGGTCAGAGTTAAGGTTTTTCTCCCGCCTGGGACTCAGCTCCATCCCTCTCCAGTATCGCACTACTGCCTAAGGAAGGTTTCTGATAGCTCTGTCGCACTCCTCAGCGACTGCGATCAAGGCAGCTGGCTCTGGGCTGCTGACTCGTCTTCACAACGTCCCCCTGTGGTAGGCTCACGACCAGGGGAACTGAGGCAAAGAGAAGAACCAATTTCACCAGAGTCATGGTGGGAATTAGTGACAAAGCACAGTCCATCACATCTCACTTCTCCGTGGCTTTGTGCCAGCAGAACCAGTAACGCAGTGGATGAGGAACATAGCCAGGAAAGGAAGAGGTGCTGCGAGCGCTCTCACTGGCACTAGATGTTGCTACAGAGCAAACACATTCTAATTATAGTAAGTGTCATTGCTGTACAGTGAGAAAAACACGCACTTCAAAAGGTTTATAACTATGTAATTTGCTTCTGGGAAAACTCACCACAAAAAGCAGAAGGAAACCCTTTTAAAAAGTCATTTGTACTCATCTAGTGCTAGGCAGGCAGGCAAGCAGCAGAGATTTCTGGTTTAAAACTGCCTTTTTGCTCATATGGCTTGAAATTAGTGTTACTTGAAACGGTGACATTTGGTAGATCTATGTTTAATCTAAATATAGCACAAGAAAAGTTAAGTCAGTACAGAAGTACTCTCACATTCAGATAAGGAGGGACCTGGGCGGGTAGTCAGACATTTAAAAGGCACTCATCCAATGCAATTTGTTAGCAATGCTTTCCTAAACTATTTGATTGTGTGGACCTATGTGTGGATCAGAACTGTAGGATGGGTGGTTTAGTGCAAGTGAAGTGCAACCCCCTCCTGCAAATTTCTTTTCTGGCTTCTGCTGTCCCTGCAACCACCCATCACTGTCATTGTCACTCCACCCGGAGAGCAGCTGCTCCTCTCTGCGTGTTTCACCTCTGGGGACCGCACAGGGACTTGCTGTGAAGCAGAGCAGGAGGGATTCAGGTGAGAAAATAGTAACCTCAGTGCCTTGAGCTGCCCTTCGAGAGTAGAGCAAATCCCCACTCAGAAAGAAGTTCATTCTGTGTATCTCATTCACTAGTGAGTGACCAAGACTAGTCCCTGCACAGATATGTAACAAGAGAGAGTCCCTACCTTGAAGAAGCCCAAGGCAAGGCAAAAGGCAGGAGAGTAAAAACAGGCATTCTGGCAGGGAGCTCACAGCTTTCCAGCTCCTTTCTGCCACTAGGCTGCTATGTACAGCTTTTGCTGCATTAAGCTAGCCACCAGAAACATTTGTTTTTCAGGCTATTCCCCAAGATGGTTTTGTGCAGGGAATATATAAGCGACGTTCTTACCTCCCTCATCCATGTCTACTCCAAGATTGTCTCTTTTCTCTGCCCTCCAGCTGCGGATAGCACACAGTGAAGGTATGACCAGGCCAGTCCTTTCTCATCTAAGTGGTCAGAAATGACATATCTGATAAATGTCAGGCAACGCTGCCTGTGGGTGGGTTACAAGAAACCCAAATAGGAGTGAAAAAAGATGCTAGTCTAGCTTAGTGCAAACAATTCTTGTCCCATCAGAGGGAGAGCAATAGGATTGTGGTCTGTCCCCACGGAGGATCACCTTCAGTGCGGGAAGTTTTCTGTTTCTTGCACCCCAGAGCAGCTTCTTCTTTGTGGCTGAACACACCAGGCAAGTCACCATGCAGAGACAAGGAAAGAAAACGCCTGTCAGATGGGTTCTTAAATTAGACGGACAATGAATGATGAGCCTGTTCCAGTCGAGCGGAAGGGGATAGACAGAACAAAGGGCCCTTGGGAAAGCAACAAGCAGCTGAGCTGAAGCTTGGTTAAGGATAAACAGGGCTGAGTCAGAAATACCTTGAAAAATGTATGATCAGATCCTTAGGCAGTGTAAATCAGCTGATGATTTATTTATATGTGCTGATTCACTTTTCATGCAGTACAAAGTGGCTGCTTCCAAATCTAAATTCCCCTGGCAGAAAGACACGGAAGAGATCATTGTCCAATATGGTGAGTGGAGGCAGATCCAGCCTGCAAGAGCGTCAGTCTGCTGCTTTGCTACTGCGTGCCTCAGTTTCCCCACAGGGCAACGGAGGCTAATGGGGAATTTGGCCCGGAAAGTAGCTCCTTGTGAAGCTCCCACACAGCTCCCAGATCTCAGGCTGCACAATCCAAATGAGAGAAGAAAAGTTTGCCCCGGTGTTGGGGGAAGGAGATTATTCAGAGGGAGACGATGACAAAAGTCCTGGCTTTCATTAATTAGAGGAGGACATGAGCTGATTCAGGGAGCATCTCCCACACTGTCCTGGGGAACGTTTTTCTGCAGTCACATTCTTCTGCTCTCTGGAGACACAGGAGTTCCTAGGTAGTTTCAAATCACAGCCCTGTCATGCAGAACTGTGTCACGTAACATGCAACAGAAGATCTTCCCCTGGGGAGAAGTTGCAGGCTTGCCAGGAAGATCAATATGTTTGGCACTGCACAAATCAGGCTATTACCTTGTCAGTCACAGCACAAGTTCTAGGTCTTGAATTCAGCCAAAAGATGGCTAGGAAGCAGAGCAGGAGACCAACACCTTTCACAAAAGGTTTCTCAGAACAGGTATCCAGAAATACATACCACCCTCTATCTCGCATCATTTGTGGTGGAAAACTTCCTCTCATGGAGACTTTAACGTAGGCTATGAATATCTGCATAGGAGCAAGACTTCAGATAATCTAGCATGGCAGAATAAAGTCTAGTGACCGAAAACAGACCAGTTTAGAGCAAAAGTAGGGCATAAAGGGAATTAACCACTGGCACAGCTGATCTATGGATTTGTGGCTTCTATATCACTTGATGTTTTTATTGAGCCTGAATGCTTTTCCAAGCAATCTAGCACAGCTCAGCCACATATTGTGAGTTTGATACAGACATCTGGAGATAAAAATCATCTGCCTTGTCCTGTACAGGAGATCAGGCTAGACAGTCTCTGCTGGCTTGCAAGAGGAAAAACTGGCACAATGAGACCCTAGTTTCAGTCGTGGTCTCTGGACACAACTGTTTTCCAAGTAAGAAATAATTGGTATTAATTCTGGTTTCGGTGGGAACATATCATTTTGGAAATACTTAGATAAGGATCTTTCTTCCCCCTTGTGGCCTAGATGAGGTGCCTGGTTACCAAATGTAGACATCTTTACAAGGATTTCAGCTCTGTTTTTGATATATCAGATGCCTGTTTTCCTCCAGCACCATAGCACTAAAAACAGTCTGCAGAAAATATAAGCAGATAGATCCTTTGCTGGCTAAAGCATGAAGCAACAGACCCAGCTGCCACTAGGGGCTTTCAGTTGGAGGTATTTTGAGTATATTATCTATATAACGGGTACCCTTAAAGCTTTTCTAATTTGCCTTCTGGAAGATGAAATGGCCACACTGACACCAGCAAGTGCCATTCTCAGCTGATTCGCACAGGGCTGAAATGGCCTATTAAGTCATCTGCAATCAGCAATGGGGCCTTAAAGCTTTGAATGCTTGATACACTGCCATATAGCAATTTTCTCATGTGAAGAGAGGCGAGAACAGTCAGGCACCTCTTCCCCATTTTCTCTCTTTCTGCCAAATGAATTTTTTTCTTTTTTGTTTTAAACTGTTCCCTTAGAAACAGGCAGCTTAGCCCTTTCAGCCCTGCCGCTTCAATCGGTACCATATAGCATGGCAGCAGTGCTCAGCTCTGCCATTCTCGGCTGCTCCCTGCGGTCCCTCTCCCTGCTCACATTAAATGAGCGTGGCACAGACTCGCACTGCTCTTTGGTTGCACGCCTGGGAGGTAATGGGGAAGATGTTTATGGCAGATATGCTGCAGCAAGGGAGGTACCACCAATTATGCAGCCGTTGCTGGCAAGCCGTAGCGGTTCCCCTGTGTTGGACCCCTCTGCCTGTTTTGGGGGTGAGCTGTCAGGCTTTAAAGGCTGCACAGTACACGGTTCAGCTTCTCATCACGCTCATACAAAGAAAATAGTAACCCCAGCCCACTTCCAGCTCTGGACTGAGCCCGCAGTCTCACTAGAGCCCTTCATTATAAAAAGAAATCACTCTGCTTGCTGGAAACACATCGGCTCTTCCTGTCAGTTCCAGCAGCTTCTAGCCAATTTATTTTACAGAGCTCAGAGAAGCTGGAAAGGACTTAACCAATGGGATAAGCACATGGATCTCTCAATATCAGATTTTCTGTGTCAGAAAAGATTAAATGATCCCCAGAGACATGTGAACCAGGGAAAAGGTTCAGCGCACATCTGTGACTGGGATAAACAGAAAGATCAAATCTGGGTCTGAGCTGTGCCAGTTCTGCTTAAACCTGGCCCTCCAAAACATGGATTGGAATGTGGAAGACAATAATTGCTATATGAATTCATACTTATTCGTCCTGTCAGCCCAGTTTCTACTAGGCTTCAGTGAAGCACTCGGGCAATAGCATCTGCAGCCTTGCTATAAGGACAGCCTTGCATTTGACAGTGGGCCTTTTGGAGGCCTTTTCGTGTGCGGCAGCCACAAGTAGGGTACTTACAAGGACTAGGAACATAAAAACCTTGCCATTTTATCCTTCACCTTGGGTGCTGCTTCTGAAATACTTTAAGACACCTGAGCTCCAGAGAAACTATCCACATCTTCCTTTCTCAGCTCCGTCACAGTGGGAATAAAAATTTAGTGGGGCACGTTCTCTGGGAGTTAATATTCAGTGGGTTGGATTGCATGGAGCACGGACCTCTTTGGAAGGATCAGATGGTCAATCCCGTATCTCCTTGTAGTTCTTATCCACTGTGGAAAATCGAATGAGGTGTATTTCAGGGGGCTTGGACTTCCTGTCATCCCAGAGGTACTCTGGGGAGAGCACCTTGGAGGGTTTGTGGGAGAGAAAGTGCCTGTTGAGATGGCTTTCTTCCTGCCAGGCTGCCATGATCCCATTGGCTTTATCTGCCAGGATAGTCATGTGGCAAGTCTTGGTGAACTCATAGACCTTCTTTACCAGCCCCCCAAACACAGCTCCTCCATAGTAGAAGTCCCCTTCTTCCTCAGGGATGTAGGCTGCTGAAGAGCTCCTCCTCTCATAAGGGAATTGGCTTCGAGGGACATTGAAATAGCCAGGGTGTATGGCTGCCACCATGTCACCCAAGGTCTCAGCCCCCCAGGGATTGTGGAACACCATGTCAATGTCCAGGCAGAAGAGGTAGTCCACCTCCTGATGGCTTGTCTCTGCTATGTGCTTGTTTATGTTCTCCATCCTGCGCATGGAGATCTCTTGCCAGCTGTGGTATTTCTCGATGGGTACAACGACAAGACTTCGGCCAGGTTGCAGCTGGACATTGGGGATTGTCTCAGGGTTGTCAGTGAAGATGTAGTAGTTCACTCGATAGCCTTTCATGAAATGCTTCTCTGCTGACTCCAGGAAACGGCCCACAAATCTTGTATATCTGTGCAGACATAACATGTGAATAGCACAGGAGGGATAAAGGGTCGTGAGATGAATTATGGGGGATACTTTAGCGAATGCAAGGAGACAAGGGATGAAGAGTGCTGCCTAGCTATTGCTACAAGGATGCATATACTACACAGGCAATAGCTAGAGTACAGCGGAGGACAAAGAGCAAGTGGCTTATTCCTGCTTTAGCCAATCAGCTACCTATCTATAGCTCCACCTCCCACAGCATAGGCTAGTTCTCCAAAAATATTGACTGCGTTTCAAGTACCTGGAGAGTTAAATCTGTTATTATGTAGGCTTATACAAGTATGGACATGACACATCGGCATAAATGTATCACAGAATGGGACAGATTGCAGCTCTGCTGAGGGCAAGAAGAGTAAAAATGTACCTCCTCTTTTCGTAGAGGAAGTACATTAACCCAAGAACTATGCTTAATGAGTCACTCACTTTCCAATGGCAAACGCTGTCACCCCTACGGTGAGATTCAGAGGCGTGTAGGCACGGTCCAGGACTTCAGAGTTGAAGGTACCGTCCCAGATGATGGGGGCCAGCCATGGTGTGAGAGTCAGCACATCCTGACGCCTGAAGGAAATGAAAGAGCATGTTAATGAAACGTAACTGTTCCCTTTGGTTTCAAATCCAGTAATTGCAAGAGAGACACTGTGGAAGCAGACAGAAGAAGAAGAATGCTGGTATCAGTATTAAACTCTTTATGGATAGTATTACATTCAGATCTCTGTCCCTGCCCTCCTCTTTAAGGTCACTGAGCACGGACATTTCTCTTCCTGGGATGAAATTCAGCACTGCTTAAGGAATTAGCAAAAGTTCTAGGCTCCACTAAAATCTCAATTAGGTCTATAGGACTTGTCTGCTGAGGATCGTTCAATGACCGCTGACCTCACTGAATGGCAAGCCATGTGTATTTGCTATCAGTCTGATGCAGATTGCTACATATAGACATAAAATGCAAGTAATAATATGACAATTACTATAAAAATACCTCATTGCCACTGTGTTATTAAAACACAGCTTGTGGCATGACAGTCTATTTTACCAGTATTTATACATAGCTTTAACACATTCAGACATAATTTAAACTTTTGCATATGAGCCAGCATTCAAAATTATAGAAAATTTTTTGTATCTCCTGTGTGGGAGATCTCTTGTGCGGGTAGTGGAAATAATGAATACACATGCAGCAGAGTCTGATTATGTGTCATTGCAGCTATGCAATGATATTTCAAATTTCTTCTGTGTTTTCAGGGTCTCTGGATTTTCCTCCCTTTTTATTTTTTGAAGAAAATGTAATTCAGGGTGCCTGTTTCACCCTAGTTTGCTCACATTACCCCCTACCCTGACCATGATCTAGAGCACTCAGCTGATGAAATTTGTCCTGCACATCACTAGCTGAGCCCAGGGGAAGCCATCTCCCACCTGACACCCTCACAGGGCAATAACAGCACAAGAACCAAACCAAGGGACCTGTGGAGAGCATTTTGATGGCTGAGGTAGTGCTACGCTTTCAGCTCACATCTAATAGTTCCAGTCTGAGTGGACAGGAAAGCAACAATTTCATTTCCTTCTATGGTAAGGCATAGGATTAAAATATGAAAATTATAGGAGAAGAAGAATTTGGTTTGTAGAATATATATTAGCTGAGCTGTTCTCTTTCTGGGTCAATTATTCTTTTTTTACAGAGAGGGAGGGAGAGGGAGGGAGGGAGGGAGGGAGAGGGAGGGAGGGAGAGAGGAATTCCTAAGTTTATTCTTCCAAGCAGATTTTCTTTCATTTGATTTTAAGGGACTGCACTGGGTTTCCCAATGACTCATTTCTATGGTATGCATCCACTCAGTGCATGCTAGAAAACTCCTTTCAGAAAATTATGGCACTAAAAGCTACATTATTCTCTCCTTATTTACTCCAGTATATATTAGCTGATTTCACACATTAATATATTCCAATAAGGAAAAAAGAAATAGACAACGCACATCCTGTTAAAAAATGAATTCTGTAGAGTGTGTTTATTAACTTTGTGCATTAAAACGGTGGCTGTTGAAGAAGAGCTGCTAGAGGTAACAGCCAGGTCACAGGAGCTGGCTCAAAGGAGACTGCTAACAAACACGAGCTGACAAGGAGTGGTTGCCTGAGTCACTTCTTGGCTGCAGCTGCCTAAAACCTTCCATGGCTGTTTAAACTCACTGCTCTGACTGCTTCTCAGCCGGACTTGTCTGTGTGAATGCCTAGAATTTGTTCCAGGGTAAGATTCCCGCAGGTTAGCTGAAATAATTGTGAAGGTCATGCAATGCACCTGTTTGATTTTGCCCTGAAATGGATTCAAAGCTCACCCACAGCTGGTTACAGCTACGATGCAGACCCAGAAGGCATTCCTCTCTGCCTTCCAGCTATTATATCTTCTAGCTCAAAAAAAGTCCCTGATGGCAATCATGCAGACAGGCTGAGTATGTGCTAATGTGTTAACTGGGAATTTTCAGTAGGTATGCTAGCAAGTATGCAGTTATTAAACTCAATCTTACAGCAGCATAGACAGCTGTAGACATAACCGTACAACCAGGCCTGTCATGGAACAAGGTACTGCTCAGTATATAGCAGGCTACTGAAACCTCGAGTTCAACAGAGCACCCAAACTAAAGTCAGCAGCTTTAACTTACAGGAGTAAGAGCCAAAGGACAGTTCAAACAAAGAAACTTACTTTGGGGCCAGTGCTCTTGGCTGTGGATAAAATAATCTGCAAAAAAAAGAAGAAATAGCCACTGAATAATAGATGAATAGGCCAGGAAGGGAGGAACAGCAGTTTAAACATCAGGAAATAAAAAGCCAGTACTTACTGGGGGAAAAGCTGGATTGGCTTCTCTTCTCTGTACTGGAGTTTCATGGAGCTGCATGATAGGGTAGAAGAAGAAAGGTCTATAAAGCATTTCTTAAAACAAGACAGAGTTCAGCTTCAGGATCTGCTGTTGTACTGAAAGCTGTCCAAGTTCTCACCCCAGCTGCCATGCACACTGCTCTGCCTGGTATAGAGAGCAATGCACTGCCTTTACGCCTCTTCAAGGGCTGCCAGACAAATAACTGTTCTGAAGTAGCACACAGGACGGAACAGGGATAGAGAGATGCTGGCAGCTCTTAAGAGTCTGTGGGTAAATCAGAGTTTAGGGGTCAGAATCCAGGGAAGCACATGCTTGTTGGGGCTGCTAGTACTGGTCATGTATGTACTCCATTCCCTGCACTCCTCCCTGCTTAACTGGAAGGCTGAACTACCTGGAATACATCACACTTTAAACAGCATTCGGAGAAATATGCATCTTACTGGACACAGTGTTTTTCAGTAGCTTGAAATGCCTCTGTAAGAGATTGCATTTTCTATTTAAGCTTTTTAAAAGATTAGTAGGCCATGATAAAGGATGGGAAAAGCTGTCTCTTATCATGTTATGGGCTATGGTCCAATATGGCACTGAAGTCATATTTAGGCCATATACACTGCTCCTCCAAAGTGTAAATTATTTCTTATACAGCTTTGAGATTGCTTTTAGGACCCACACTAAGCCAATTATCCACGTGTTAGTTTGCAACACGCAGTACAGCCAACCCTTTAATCTGCAAGGTTTCTGGAGAAGCTGCCAGCTTTTTACTTTGTTCACAACAGGCCTCTGGTCCATGACTCAAGTGCTGCCATAACACAAATAAATACATAATGTGAGCGGAAAGCACGGATCATATATTGCAGAAGAGACCCACTACTGAGAGACTGGGGGATTGTTCCCAACTCTGCCAGGACCCTGTATTAGATTTTTCATCTCGCCTCTCTGACTTAAGTTTCTCCATCTAGTAAGCTGGGATACTTAAAGCCGCATCTCAAAGCACAGTGAGATCCTGTGTGTATATGTGCATGTGTGTGTTCAGACCCTGATGATGAACCCAGCGTTAACCTGTAAGTCACAGCTTCTGTGATGCACAACAAACAAGGCCCCACTCATGCTGTTCAAATACAGAGCTGTCCTGAAGGATGAGCAGATCAAAGCAGAAAAGGTTGCATTATTACCACTTTATTCCAAGATTTATCATTTTATAAAATAAAGAATAAATGACTATTTGTTTATAACTAGCTCCACTGTTAAAATGGTTACTCCCAAAGGTCCCTGGTAACCTCAGTGAAATGTACTGTAAGATTGTCAGTGAACTACAGTTCTTGTAACAGTGAACTGTATTATTCGTTATACACAAAACAGGATACTTACAAGATTTCAGGGCAAGGAAGGTAATATGGGAGGTAGCGCACTTTCCCATTCTCAACTGTAATCCTGTAAGTGATAGGAAAAAAAAACGTTTTAAGACAGGTAGTATTGAAAAGTATCTTCCTAGGATTTTCCAAGATCTCTCCAGAATCTGGCATACATTTTAAGTAGTAACTCGGTTTCTCTACTCTACTGATTCACGTGGGACATAGCATATTCACCTTTAAACGTAATATACTGTTGCTAAGGCAGAAATGGGAAGCTCAAAATAAAAGGAGTCCAGTAGCATCCAGCTTGAAACGTAAGGACTAAATATTATTATTTACATCAAATGGTCTATAAAATGTAGGTCTACATGTTTTCTAAATGTGTACACAAATGTAGACACATAAGGCAATGTTCAAAAAGGGTAAACATACAATATACACTGGTATGACATTCTGACACTTCTCATCACTTCAAATGGTGTATATGTGTCCTTTTATTTAATTTGCATATCAGACAAACAGGCTGCCTAGGCTTTTTTCCTCCCTTCAATTTTGATCGCAGTTTACATGGCTTTTTATACATAATCACTTAGCTACTGATGAAACGCAGTCATCTACAATGTGGGATAACAGCAAATTACAGCATCAGAAATACAGTATTATTAGTAATGATATAATCATTAATAGCAATATCTGATCTCAGATTCTTTTCAAACAATGTGTGAGAGGCGACCAGCTGAGTTTTCCCAGGAGAATTTGCAAGGTATGCTCTGTAGTCAGTACTCTCAAAGCTACAAATATCCTCAGTGTTTGAAAGCTACAAACTTTCCCTAGTTACCTTGGAACAAGTTTGGACTGTTGGAAGAGAGAGATAATCATCTCTTTAAGGCCTGAGCTGAAATGTGACTGGAGTATTCTGTACTTGAACAGTTGTTTGAGAGTCAGATATGGAGTTAGCAACCTAACTTAGACACAATTGGTCTTTCTTCTTTCTCTTCTCCCATCTCTCTCTCCCTCTCTCTCTCTCCCTCTCTCCCTTTAGAGACTTCTTCCTCTGTTGCTACTACCTTATCTATTATATTAATTACTTTCTTACAAGGTCTAACAGGGACTTCTCACAAAGTGCACTGCTTATATTATTCTGTCATTACAATTTTTACTACAGCGTTAGATGTAGCCAGAAAGCTCATGCTATAAGTATGACCAGGCCTACCAGCAAAAGCTTACCAGATAAACGTAGTAAGGATGAATAGACAGACAAGAGATCCCACCGCTTTCCTGGAAATCATGTCTTCTAGAGCGGAAGAAGGAAAGGCAGCTTCTCACTCACAGCAGCTTTCAATCTGCAAAGAACAAAAAAGCAAGGGAAACTAGCTATAAATATCTCGCCATGATTTGTCATGGGAGCATGCAGTGCTCCAAGCAGTTTCATTTCAGGTACTTTTTAATTCAGTCTTTCTGAAATCAGGAACCTAGAAGGAACTGGATTGTAAGGGCCCTGCTGCTTATTTAGTCACCTAGGTTGTTCACGTAAAACACGTGAGAAATCTCTCAATTTCAGAGATATCTAATCACACCTGTAGGAGGGCTGGAAGCCTTCCTGATTTAATTCTAGCTTCTGCAAATAATACCATTTCTTTGGTATTATTTTGCAGTACATTTGGTATTATTTTGCTTCGGTATTATTCTTTTGCAGTTTAATAAATTCACCTGACCCAATCATACCAGGCGGTAGATGGAGCAAATACAGTTACCATTCCAGCTGATAAACACCAACTTCCACCAAACAGTAATTACTGGACAGGTCCTACCAAACGTGTTTACAGGAGCAAGGCAAACTGCACTCTGATACAAGCAAGGTAACATTAGATGAGAACAACAATACATATTAGGCAACAATATTTCTCTAAGTCAGAAAAATTACTCCCCTGGCAAAAGCCTGAAACCAACTTCCCCCTGCTCAGCTGTCTTACATTGAAAGCTCAAACTAATTCCCTTTCTGTTCACAGGAAAGTAAAGATTCCCACGGTGTGAACCATGGGCCACCTGTGACACACACACAAAGCCTTTGCATACGGCCTCCGAAGGGGCTTGTTACAAGTACGTTAATTATTATGTTACAGGCTACATTCATTATTACCTCTATGGATTACAGAGCTACTGTACTGCAGATAAGTCTTTTTTTGTGTGTGAATTCTCTTCCCTCTCCTCGGCATCCTCTGCGTCCACATAAAGTGTCCTTCTGCCAAGCTTTCCGGACCTCTGCTGTAGACATTAGCACAGTCACCCTTTACAGGAAACCACTTTCTAGCATGTGACTGGGGCCCAGGAAAAGGAGGGGGGGGTGGGGAAAGGGGCTGGTTGTCAAGACTCTTTATATTTATAGAGTCAGCCGTGCTGCTGATAGGGGGAAGAACCAGTGCCGGTGCTACAGCTTTCACCGAGAAACAGCACAAATCCCACTTTAAAAAAAAAAAAGGGAGGAGGGGAGCAGAAAGCAAGGCATTCTGCTTTTTAAAATCTTCATAGGTTTGTGCTGAGCAGTTCTGGGTTCTTACCTGAACGTGCTGCAGACCCACAAATACAAAAGGATTTGCAACCAGCCTTTCCCCTCTGACTGTTTTATGCTTTGACCAGCCTTATCTTACTCCTGTGCTAATTCTGCAATGAGAGCTGCTACACAGAAGTCAGGATTTTCCAGTGCTGACCCTGTGCCTGATGCCTTTCATGAGTCCCCTCTTCAAAGGAAGAGTTCAGCATAAATGAAAACAAGAAATGGTACCACTCCTCAGATAGTCTCTCGGGAAGTCTCATTTCTCTGCCTCCAACCACCCCATGCACTCATCACCATGGCATAAAGAGACTGATAGCGTAGAATTTGGGTGATGAGAAAGGACAAAGAATAAGGAACAGACAGAAGAAAGGAGAGCAAAAATTATTCTCAACCTGAATGGCTAAATTAACAAATATAAACAGAAATGGGCATTCTGATTAATTTAGTGCCATTTCAGCTATTTTTATAGGCGTTGCGTAACTTCATAATATGTACTTATGCAGTAAACGTCTAATCCCTCAGGTAAAGTAACACATATATTATTTTAAAATACTACATCACTAGGAGCACAGCTGATGCATTGCCCTTTTGCATCATCACTTCTCTGTCGCTAATCCGTAGGAACACTGGAGTCGGCTGAGTTCAGAACGTCCCCTGCATCTGAAGACACCTCCTTAACATTTACTGTATTTGTCCTACACTGATTTACAATTTTAGGGTTCATAATGACTGCAAACAAAAATGAAATAGATGTGGTTGCCGTTAATGACAGAATCTCCTAATAAACAACCCCCCAAAAAAGGGCTACAATATTTCTTTATAGTTACTCAGGTTCCTCAAAGCTGTCCAGAGTTGTTTAAAAGATATATGTAGTTGAAAGTAGCTGTACTACTAGTAAATGAACTTGCATACCCTTTCAGACCAAAGCATGACATTATCTTCACACCCTGCCTGAGAAAGCATTCTGGATTGCAGAGAAATACCTGGTGTGTAGACCATTCCACGGAAGCATTTTCTTTGAAGATCAAGTTTTTCTAAAGCTGCGTTTCAGATTTCTAAAACTGAGGTAGTAAGCTGAGAGTACAGTATCGTTCGGAATGTGAAGAAAGAGAGGATATCCACAGGAAGGACGTCATCTGGGCTGGTAAAAAGTTTCCTTGCTCGACTCCATCATTAAATAGGCCGCCTTTAACTATTAAAACCTCAAGCCGTGCCATGACACAGACACTTTCAGCCTTGCCAGAGCTTTAAACATGAATTTTAGTCCAGATCCACTGCTGAGCTTCTAGCTCTTCAGTTTCTCACATTACAGCTAGCAGCACAATGAGTTAACTTTATTCTGGCTGAGATCCAACCAGGAAGCACTGCACGGAGTCTACATTTCATTTATAGCACATTCGCCAGAGTTTTCATTTCAAGAGGCAAAAAAATCTCCTTTTAGCATTGAGCTTGTTCAGTGCAATAGGAAAAAAAAATTATGCTGGACTAAATCTGTAAAACATCACTGACATGATTACAAACATGTTTGTTTACAAATGTTTGTTTACATCGTTTGTTACGCCTACAATGAATTTGGTCATCAGCATGCATCTCAGAAATGCTGTAGCATGACTACTGTAAAAAGTAGCTGGAAGGGCATAGACTTTTGACCTGTCTAGGCTAATATTCTTCAGGAATTAAAAAATGAGTGAATAAAAAACAAGAGAAAAAGAGAGAACGCAGAAAGCTTGAATACAGCTAATAATGGGATTCAAGGTTCTGGAAGTAAGCTCTAGTGTGGGAAATCATGGCATTTTCAACTTGGATGAAAGAATAAAGAAAGCACACAAAAGAATTTTCAAGGAATTGAAGAATGATGCAATTGGCCTGTTAACAAAAACATTAACGTTCTCAGAAAGGTGCTTGGGGTAATCCCAATTAACTGAGTAGAAGCTTATTGCAGTGCAGTGCCATGGAAATTCTGCCAGTCAGAATGACCATACTGAATCCAACCATGGGTTTAATCCATGTATACCTCGTCTCTGACAACCAGTACTATATGAAAAATTCAACGATACACAATGCAGATTATCCTGCCTACAATGGAAGTTTCCTCTTAACGTTCGTAAATCGGTGATAACGAGAAAGAAGTTTAATTATTCTCAGAACAGAATTCGCTGAGACATGTCCACAGACTACTTACTCACATTCCTCAATTACTCCAGCAAATATACAATATAATCATTTTTTCTTTGTTAGGAGCACATTTATTTGTAGAACAGAAATACATTAGCAAGAGTGGACTGATCTCAGGTATAGAGCTGCTTTATCTTCTGGATGGATCGTTTCCACCACTCTTCCCAGCGCTGAGTTGTCATCAGCTGAGCTGTACTTTCTTCCTTGATCTGGGTAAACTGCTGCTCAAGTTTACCTTTGTATTTCTGTACAAACAACCAAAAAAAAGGTGGTGGTGGGGGGAAGGGTAGTGGTGAGGTATAGTTTTATTTTGCCTAAATCCAGGTCCTGGTCCGCTGCATCAGATGATCGCATGCAAGCCACTTAGTTCTGCTGTCAAAGGCAGAAAGTATGTGAGCAATGAACTATTTATTGCCTTCCTTCCATGTGCCTTTTAAAGGCTTCTAAAACAGAATTATCATTAATATTTAAATTTTGCTAAAAATGTAAGATCTTCATCTCACCTCCAGGAGCTCATAAGATTAAAGAGCTACCTTCTCTAGAGAAGTGAAAGGAAAGCATGCATCTCAAATAAACACAGAAAGAACTCTGGTTCTCCCTAGGACTTCCTAAGCCAGTGATATGAACTGAACTATTACAAAGCTGCTAAAAGGTATTGCACCTGAAGAGAAACTCGTGGACTACTATAAAAGCTGCAAGGCCACATTATTAAAGCGTCCATGCGCCAAAAAGTAAAACATCGTACCTTTACATTATGTAACGCAAAAATGCAGTGTACATTCAGGAAAATATTGTTAAGACATGTATTTACTATATCACACAATGCTGACAAACACTATTCTCACTTCAAAACTGTACTGTAAACTAGGTGCATAAGTACAATAACTAGATACATAAAACTCTTGCAAATGTATAGCCTTGATAGCATTTTCCGTTGTTAACAGTATATATTACACTTTCTACTCAAAATATTTTTCACAATAAATTCAGTTCATTGGGAGTAAGATTACTTCCAGGACAGATGCAGAAAGACTAGTCATTAATTCCCATATGATTTAACAAAAGAACGCTATCCTAATTGCTGAACGCTACTGTTTGGCAAGCTATAATCACTGCAAGTCAGAATCTGAGTAGTCTGGAATTCTTCCAGCAGGTTAGTGAACAAAGAGCAATTATTTTTATGGTGGAAACAATAACCTGAAACAATAATATGAGATCAAAATTAAAGATAGGTGAGAAATGTCTTATAGTCCTTCACCTTTTATGAAAAAGTAAGCCTTTGTGATCTAAGGAAACAGCTGTAGCCTTTAGAAAGAAAGGTGAGAGAAGGCAAGCTGTATCGAAATGACATTGTGGAAATATGGCACCGGCAGCTACTTTTTAAACTGTGATGCTGCAGAAAAGCATTAAGTGACCTGTTTCTGATCCATGCTTTCATGCATGCTTCTCTGCTGAAACAATTTTTTGTTCAATGTACCTGAACGGGAGGGCTCCCCAAGAAACCAACAGTGTCCACTTCTGACAACGTCACAAAGAAATATACGTGAGAGAGGATTTCTACCACAGCGGATATGGCTTTAAGATCTGAAAACACTGTGTACACTAAACTCATACGCATTTATACCTCCTTCTATAAACACCACCACCCACCCCACAAGCAGCCCTTTCCCACAGACCAACCTCATATACTGCATCTCTTGCTTCTACTACTGCTACATGGCCCAGTGTAGTCTTAGCTGTTGTCACAGAGGCAGTTTCCCTGCAAAGAATATAGTCTGAATTGTCCGTAAGAGTAGTCACCGGTATTCCTGGCCAAGTCCTTCAAAACAAAACAAAACAAACAAAACAAAAAAGAGGTTGAAATAGAAGACAGCAGATCACACTAGTTTATGCTAATTGTACTTTAAGTGCAAAAAGATTAAACAAGTTTTTAAGTCTCCTTATTTAGGATAACTACCCTTGATTTAAAATCTCAGGAACTCTGCGCAGTAAATAGAATCCATATCTGCTGAGTGGAAACATGCAGTATTTGCATGGGGATTTTAAAGTGCTGAGAGTGATAAGTAGTGGTAAGTGAAGGGGTGTGGCAATAAAAAAAATTTATTGCATTATGACAGAATACACAATTCACTTTGAATTCAATTCATTGCTATTCTTTCATTAAAACCATTATCTACCCAAGCTGCCCTCTAACTAGTGAAATGACATTGCTAATGATAAGCACACAACATTGTATTCATGTATTCATGTATTCAACATGTATTCAACAATTTCAGCAAGTGGAGCAGAAAAGTATAATAGCCTCTAAGATCAGTTTGGAGCATAACAATTACATAGGATGGTGTTCAGTATCTTCAGGTGTTACCTGCTCCCACGTTCAATCAACTGTTTAACTTCACAGGTTTCTAGAGAAAGCCCGGCTTGTTTACGACGGATTAGGGTGGATATCTTCTCTCTCGGCATTTCAATTTCTGGGATACAGTAGAAGATAGACTTAGCAGCGGCGGAACAATGGCAGTCACACCATTGTTTCGAAGAAACTATATGCAGCCTGATGCTTTGCACTTTCAAGAAATAGCTTTGCACGCGTGATTATGCTTGAGCAGAGGGGCTGGACCAGATAGACTCCAGAGGTCCCTTCCAACTTCAAATATTCTGTGATCATGCAAATCTTTCCATTTAAAGTACTACAGCATACAAAAGTCTCCTTGTCCTATTTGTACTTATAAAAGCACATCTTCTCCAGCTATCTTTATGGTTGGGTTAATTGAATTTTTGCTCTATCATGTGATAGGACTGAGATATTAGAATAGTTATAGTAGCAAATTCTTTCCTAACTTGCCTAGTAGGAAGCGTGACAGAAGCCAGGTTCCCAGATGCTTTGGGACAGAAGGAATTTAACAAGCAATTCTCAGCAGGTGGCTCCAACATGAGCTGATATTGATTTATACGATACACGGCAAGATTTTGACCTGTCCTCAGAGTAGCTTAAAACATGAAAGACACAAAGCACCGCTGTTCCCTGGCACCTGGCTGTGCCTTCTCTGCTGCATCTCCACTGATAAGAATAAAACTAGGCTTGCAGGGTCAGTTTGGGAACAGGAAAGTTTCTTTTACATTGTTCTTAAAAACCTGATCAGAAACTAGAAGTTCTTTTTATTCAATACTATAAGCAAACACAATAACATTCATGCAAATATATCACTACTTTTTATGAAACTTACATTGCATAGAACTGTAATTGAAGCCCTTGAAAAACGATCGTTAAAAAAAAATCAACTCAGTGATATAATTAAATCTTGCCAGTTATTCAGTCGTACACATATAACTAAGAAAAACAATTAGCACAGATGCTTATGGTAGAAATTACACAAAGCCTTGGAATAATCTGAACATTTCTCTTTTTAGGGAGAGCCTGCCGGTATCTTTGAGAAAAGTTGAGGCCTGAGCAATCAATCTCATCTTAACTTACTTGCTAGTTGTACATCATCAATAGTGATACTTTCATCTAATTCCAGAAGCAGCTTTTCAGTGAAGGCAGCTAGCGCCGAAACAAAGTTCTGAGCACACTCAGCAGCACAGGCCTGTTGGGAAATTGGATACAAAAGAGAGGAATTAATTCCTTTGATGATTTATCTCCTATCCTTTTAGATTAGCTCTGAAAGGACTACAGGGCTCTCTGACTTTTTACAGCAGCTACAGATCAACACACCTAACGCTTTCAGTGGCACATAAAAGGCTCTAAAAGTGCCCCTTGGCAATGTTCTCAACACTACTAGATTAAAGCATAAAAAGCTACAGAAGTTCTGTGTATAGTTGCCCAGTAATTGTATGTTTGGGTTAAGCATCTAAACCTGACGGAGACAGCGATCTGTAAATATTTATTTCTGCCCAAAGCAAAGGCCATTTGGGAATTCAGATACTTTGGGTGGAAGTGCTTTGGCCAGGTATTATTCTAAAAAAAAGGGTATGTGGGTGTCTCTGTGTGTGTAGAGCTAAGAGGAGAAAGACATTACTTGGGTATTAAAAACATATATATAGTCTGCAGACAGTATAGAATTTCAAGTAAGTGGCCTGAGAGAAATAAACAGAATGAGCTTTTATGTCAGGTAACTGGCCTTTAATAACCCTAGAGGATGGAGCAGGAAAAGTTTGATTCCTGAATCTCTCCTGTAAAATTCTGCTTCTTCCAGTTCTTAATATTATGTAGAGAAACGTCAGTTACTTGCACTAACAAGATGGTCACAGAAAAAAACCTTCCCAGGTATCTGTCTTCTGCAATTAAAATAACTAACCAGAGGATGTCACTATTCTTCCAAATTTAGTCTCGTATTCAATAATTACGCTATTAAGAGACAACACTTCTCTTCTTCATTATCATCTATGAACGTTACAAAAAATCAGTTAGTTCCACAATAAATCTATGAACTCGTACATGCATATATGCCTTTATGCGTATACTCATCTGATAACATATAACTCATAGTTAAAAGACATTGCGTGAATGGGATTGCCTAAAACTGAAAACATTTTCCTTTTTAGTTTTGATGGGGATGAGAAATGCATCTGAGATCTACCCTCCTTTCCAAGTACAATAACCAACAAGCTTTTATTAAGCAATGGCCTTATAGTTACCTGCATCATCTGTGTATTGAGATGAATAGCATCAGCTTGGTCTTTCTGCCTTTTTATTTCCTTTTGGCACAAAGTTTCCAGCTGAAGTAAGTTGTCTGGATGTCCCAGAGAAGGACGTAACTGATTTGTGTGCACAGCCTTGAAGCAAACACATAAGTAAGAAGTACTTTCTGAAAGGAACGTGCAACTGAATCATAATGAGAAAAAAGTAAAAACAAGCATTTGACATACAAGTGTTCAGAAAGAACTCGGTGTAATCCTTGGCGGACGAGAGGTAAACCTTGCAGTGCAGTATATACTAAATCGCATAAGTATATATTGAAGAACAGGGCCTCCGATCTCACCTTAGTTTTTGTTTTCAAATCATCACAAGTAATAATCTCTCTTACCAAACGCTAAACAAGATATTCATTATATCTGTATTTTTCCCTGAATTTAACTTAATACTCAGAGGGACAACATCTAAAAAACGTACCTTGTAATGTTTTCTGCACAAGCTATTTTATGACTGTTATCAGAGCTGATAAGATATACTCCTTTTTAAAAGGTAGAAAAGCTATAATAAGTTATATTGTTTTATACACATATAATTATATAAAATTATATATAAAGCTATATTTTATTTTCTGTGTAATAGAACCTACAAGGGAGTGCACCTATACAGTACGTGCTGTACAGACATACCACAAGCAATGTTACAGCCCTTAAAGAATTTATAACCTAAGTATAAAAAATGACAGAACTGTACAAGATAAAAGAGGGGAAGCCCAGTGCAAAAAGCAGTAAGAGAGGGGAGTGGAGCTACCAGAAACATAAAGCTTCCAGTAGAACGACACAGACTAACTGAAAACACAAATTAAATCTGTGGCTAGCTCAGCAGTGAGTGATTAAGCAAACAGTGAGATTAATAAAATGCAATTTTATAATGCTGGTGCACTTAGGATACTTCATACTGGAAGCATTCCAGCATGTCTCTAATACATACCTTTACACTCTCCCAGACTTCCAGCTGTTTATTGAAGAGGTGCCGAATCTGATCGGTGGAACAGCTGAGCTTCTGCTCATGCTCTTTTAAAAGACTATCAACTGCTAACTGTGAGACATAAGGGAGTTCCTCTTCAAACAACTTCAACTGATCCCGAAATTCTTTTTGGAAAAGGCAGAGATGTTCTTGTGACAAAGAAGTACTCACTGAACAGAAATAAAACTCAGTCCAGCTCAGTATACACTGCACAGGTCAAGTGAGCTGAAATTTTCTCTCACAAAGATTCTGGCTCTACCATTTCTTTTCCTATGTCTAATGCTTGGAGAAACATACAAGTATTAAGAGTTGTGACACTGCACAGGCTTTCAGTTTAGTCAAGGGTCCTTCTGCCATGCTCGTTGTAGCTGATAACATATGTTAGAGGTTCTTGGCCAAATTTCCCATAAAATCAACACGAGTTTTGCCACTGAGTGTGATGGATTAAGAAAGCTACATAATCCTTATTATTGCAATTTTCCGTCATGTATACACAGGAAATGAAAAGACTTAGCTCTAGGAATTTACCAATTAGACAGGAATTATAGTAATCATCTGTCTGACTCTGGTATGACAGTAGTTTCTGGCTGAGCCGTTCGGCACAGTGTTCAAACGTCTCCGGTAGATCTTCGGGAATTGTGATTTGATGCTTATCTTTCCGGTAGAACTCCTTTGGAAGGTAAAGATAAAACAGAAAAGGGCTGGTAACGCATCCAAACAAGTCACATCTAGGCATGTAACAGTAGCAGGGAAGTTTAAGGTTGTCAACCGCTCTCTTATTTAAGACCCACTGTTGTCTTCCTTGCCCTGTGCCCTATCAGCAGCTTTGATCTTAGTGCTTCTTTGCTCTTTGAATAAATACTGGTTTTTGAGACTGCAGTGCACCTTAATTACCAGTTCTGAAAAGATACCATCAGTCCTCTTCCCGTTGTATTGCTTTTAGCTTTGACGATACGTATTCAAATATTACCTATTAAGATTATACTGTAATTTAGCAATTCCTAATATGTAACAGCTTGATTATAGATGCTTACAACAATACTTCAGTATATCTATGAATATTTGGAAAGTCTGTTAAAAGCTAGGCACGTGTCACTCCTCCATGCTGTCTCAGTCTGACATTTTCTTTTGATGCCATTAGAATGAATAATATCAGAACTGTCTTGGCTTTGCAGCCTTTCTAGCATACGACTAAGCATGGGGGTCTATGCTTGTCCTCGTACGTCATGTTGCCTGAGACTCTAAAATGCTTAATATTTATAAAGAATCCTGTCATTAAAATACACTATGTCAAATATTATTGAAAAAGTGGATGGACTGATGAAGGAAGGAAAATTTTGGAAGGCCATCCAAACATTGTAACAGAAGCAAATTAGCTGCGACAGGAATAGATCTATGACAGCAAAAGTGACTGAAGAACTTGGAGTTTTCTTACCTCAGCAAGATAGAGCAAGCTGTCATTACCTGCCCAGAGAATGCTGTTAATAATCCCCTTAAAAGTACTGAAAACAAGCAAAATGAAAGAGACAATCACACTGTAAAAAGATTATACTGGCAATATTTACTATTTTTCAAATACCTCGTTCAGGATTATTTTAATACGTTTTTTTCCAGAATATGCAAACAAATGTTCAGAGCGCGTAAGAACCTTCATCTCCCCTAGCACAGATTTCTCTTCAGAGGAAGCAGACGCTGAACCATTGTAAAATGCTTACTAGAGAGCGCTTTCAGGCCATTGGGGCCAAAAGGCAATCGTGGCCACGTTCCTCTGCTGAAAACTCACGTTAAGAGCTTACCCTGCATTTTAGACAAACCAAAAACATTTGAAGGTGCGTCTAGTTGCTTACTGGAAATATTTTGAAACATAAAGTAGAACCAAATTCCCAAGTATTTAAACATCTTAGCTTTCATCAAAATGGATTTGCATGGCACCTATGAAATATCGGAGTTCTGCATAGTATAACTGCACATACTAAGCACAAGTAAGTTAATTTTCTTAGAGAAGAGAACAGAACCATTTAAAAATCACTTCCTAAACAGTCTGCTCCTGGTTGAGCTGTATACATGTAACACTGAGCACACAAATAGAAGTATGAAATGTATTAAACTTGTAATAGATGAAAATAATTAAAAGACTAGCTATTTTACATTTTCCAACCCATTTTTAGTAAATGTACAAAACTGTCAGTGAGTCCACCCACTGCAGATACTGAACAGAATAAAAAGGATGAAACTTTTCATTTATTTTAAATATGCTGCACAATGAGCTAGTCTGTAACGATAAATAGCAAGATTAAACACCTCAAACATGTAATAGTGATCTATGTAGTTCACCATTATAAATAACTAAATAGGTAAACAGATAGATAGATAAATAGTTATTTCCGCAAGGGATGAATTTTCGTTTCAGTAAATATACGTGGCTTACTCAGATTCTGGAGGCTTCTCTGCAAATATATAGAATCTCTTGTCATTGCGGCCTGGTCTGCTGTATTTCTGTATGCTAAGGAGGCAAAACATAAATTTGAGACTGTTCACAAATCTGTTGTCTCCCTGGCCAGGTATTTGAGCTAGTCAGTCATATGACGGCCAGATCCGAAAATTAAGCCGTACTGGCTTAAAGTGGGGTTAGTCTACATTTCAACACTTTGACAACACAAAACAGCAGCAGATGAAAGAGAAAAAGAAAAATGCTTTTTCTGACAAAATCTGAATAAAACGTAAAGCTGACCATGATGACATAAAGAGGGAAGAGATTGCAAATGATAAGCACAGACAGAAAAAAGGCTAATATCAGAGAGCATTGAGAATTTTTTCGAAGAGCAGGCAGAGTTGAGAAATTTCTGCATAGGAATAAGGTAAGTGAAATTTCTCTTTCATGGTTCTTACCTTCCTGTTGATATCTTTTTATTAAAAGACGATGACCTTTTGGGGCTCAGAGCGGAGTAATTGTAAGCAGAGTTCTGGGGACCTCCATCAGGCACATTTAAGAGAGAATTCTTCTTTGATGAGGGAAGAATTGCTTTATGTTTAATAAGGAAAGAGGAAGAACATGGAAAAAATGACAACTAAGGTCTTTTTTCTACATTTATATAGCTTGTGTTCTCATTTCTATAATGCTTCCTCACAACACTAAGGAGGACAACTGTAGGAACAGTAATTTCTGACAGAACTAGAGGAATCCAGCAGTGGCAACAGAGTAAAGGCTGTGAACCGGGGCATGAAGAGTAGGACTGTGACAGAAAACACACGGTAGATGGGAAGGGCTGAAAACAAGATTAAGGCAGGGAATTAGAAGGAGAACAAGTGGCCCACATTCATAGTCTTGGCTGTGAGGGGGCTTTAGAATGGGGAGGAGATAGAGGATATTTTTTGGAAGTAGCTGAGGGATTCAGGCTCTGAAGAAGGGAGATGAAGAAATGGGAACACCAGGTAGGGAGCAGTTGGGGTTACCATTGCATCCCACCTTTTGGTCAATAATAATACACTGCTAGAGACGCCTCCGAACCCCTGCATATTTTCATGACTTCTCTTCCCATTCTTTTTCCTCCAATCTTTTTTCCTTTTGCTACCACAAGTATGGGTGCACCTCATTCTAAAATTATTACTTCCATCTGTAACTTTCATTGGTTACAATGAAAGAGTCAAGAGTCAGAGATCTTCTTGATTTTCACAAAACAAAGATAACCAAGAAAAAAGTTAGGATACACAACCCCCTCAGAGCTAGTATGCAAGCTACAAGCTATAGAAGACGCTGGCCTGGAGCGACTGGACCCGCTCAGTGACATGCTAAGAGCTGCAACTTAGATGAATACAACATACTGAAAGAAATGCTGACACACCTGGTCCTAATGAACTTGAACAATCGTTTCTCTCAGGATTCGAGACTGAAGATTTTCTGGGTGGCCGAATTCTGAAAGAACAACGGCTTTTGAATACCTACAAATTCTCTATCCCTACAATGTGCTAAGTGCAGTTCCATTTCTGCGTTAATGTTCAACTGATAGGATTACATTTACAATTGACTATGTAAATGTAAATACTTTTATGGGAGTAATTAATGGCTTAACTGGAATTCAGGTGTTTCTACAAGCACAACTGTGCATTAAAATATTTATTTGCAAATCACACACTTGTCTTACTGTTTATGTGCTTTATATGTTCATTCACATACATTTAGCACTATGTAGCTTGTAATCACCTTTTAACCAAACTAATGCTCTGGAAGACAAAAATTTAATACCTACATAACATGTAGTTTATATATAGCACTTTAACTTTCATTAGTCATATCAAAGCAATGGGGTATTTTTGGCTATGAGAAATCTTCCTCTCAAAAAAAAAAAAAAAAAAAAAAGACTAACCAGAAAGTATAATAGTAGTAGTATTACATATAAACAATATATACAATAGTTCCACACCGACAAAGGTAAATGAGAAAATTTAAATTCGGAAAAAACTTTGCTCTGCTTTTGGAATAAAAATTTTAAAAATGCCATAGTGAAGTCCCTTGTAGTGCTATCATGAGCCTCATGAAGAGAAAAGGCATATAAAGTAAAGAGAAATATAAATACAGACAACGACAGAAAAACACCTTCAGGCAAACAGTTACTTACTCGAGTAAATTTCTGATAATGCTTATTGATACATCTTCAACTGCAGACTTCCCCATTCTGCTCGGATTTAACAAAGGAAATTTAACAGGATCCATCCCCATCACCATCACATTGTTCTCATCTCTGAGAGACTCTGCTCGCATGGCAACTGCAATTGGGCCTTGCAACGTAATATCTGATGCAGAAGGGGCAAAGTCCTCCTGGAATGGTCAGAAAATAAAAGCCTGTTGACTGTAACACACATTTAGTGACAGCATTCCACGCAGTTATTGATTACTAAAGCAGATCTTCCAAACAGACACTATTTTGCTTCACAGAATGGAAGAAAGATTTTTATAATTTTAGGAATAATGCTGTTACAGCTGTACAACTCAGATATTTAGGAACAGTTACACTTTCACTAGGCAGTTATCTAGGAGTTAAGAGTTTGGCTAAAAGTTAGGGAATCTCATAATAATCCTAAGCAGTATTTAAGTATATACCTGTTAACCAATGATCCACTGCAGATTACAAAACAAAGACAGACTTTCCACGCATGGAAGGGAAAAAAAACACGTGATACAAAATCTGCCATTCTATCAAACTCTTTAGGACATTTAAAATAAAAAAAAAGGCATGAAATGTTCACATGAGCAGTGCTGTTCCTTGAAAACAAACTCTGCAACTCTTTCTGGTGCTGGACATCTTCAACAATCAGTAAACTCAGTGGTGACTGATCTACTCATTCCCTTAAGAGTTGACCTAATGTTACTAGCTCTTGGAAAGCTTGCAATCACTTGACAAAACACAGCATCTTTCTTCACTTGAAAATTTAAAATACAGATTCCGAAAAACCTTAAAAAATACACACATTAAAATCCACTCAAAATTAAATGCAATATCTTACATTAACATAAAGGCTGGTTAAATTTACTTGCAAGCAATCAAGATACTGGCTCCTCTTTTTCAGTTCTTTCAACACTACTTTGGAAAAGTCATACAACTCTTCTGAAGTCAAAGCCTGAAAGATATAATATGGATGGCATTTACTAAATTAGACAGAGATTTCAGACTTTTACAATATGCTTGCTGTTGCAGCCAACATCGCGTGAACCAGTTCTGTCACCGTTTTGTTTACACATACATGGAAGCAGTAAGACTGACGTACTGTCTAGAGGAACTGAGATTTTTGTTTCCAAAAATACCCACAAGTGTAAATATGCTTGCTGAGTGCTGCAAAGGAGAGAGTGACTCTGGTGTATATCCATGCAACTTTAACAACACTACTTACACTGCAGAGGATCTTCCTAAGCAAAAGTTCTGTGCGGATTTTTTTTTTTTTTTTTTGGTAATGTGGACAGATAGAGACTTGCTTATGAGGAAGCCCTGACCTCCACAGGCACGGTTCATGTCTGTTATTTTCTGCATCCCATACAGCATGTGTTGTTTATTTTATCTGATGTGGTGTTAAGAATCTGCCTCAAAAACATTAGTTACTTATTTTAAATATCACATACGAAAACTGCCTGCTAAACACGGGGAACTGGCAACTATTACACAACTTCTTGGTTAGTTACCAAAAAGCCTTATAGAAATTCCATAGCATTGTATTTTACATTTAAACAAACAAACGAGGTACTTCTTATTACGGCCCCTCTTATTATTCTGGGTGAGGACGGTAAAAAAATTGTTCTGTGATTATAACCCATCATGTCAGTTTGACTACCTGGCCTCTGGTGGGTTCTTCCAAAAACATACAAATATGCACAGCGACTCAAATTAATACCATGTCATACTGTTTAGAACTTACTTCTTTATCTGCAGTAGGATGAGCACAAGCATCTATTTTTTGATGGAGCTTCTCCAGATAGGAGTTCAATGTCACTGCCTGCAAATTGGAATTTGCTACCTAAAGCAGAAGCAGATACCGGTGTAATGAAAATCCATTCCAAGTTCAATGAATATTACAATGTATGTAGAAATACTATATTGTTTCTGTAAAAGGGAGTAGGCATAGAGGTTTTGGATCCTCGGGGAGGATACACTTATTTGAGCATGTACGTGTTCAATGTGCTGCAAGACCACATTGTTCTAGCACTGTTGCAACAACAGCAAGATTACAGTTTTAAGTGGATAATGACAGAAAACAGGTATGAACAGAAAAAGTCACTTAAAATTTGTCCTCTCTGTAATCAGCCACAAATTTCTTCAATTAAATAAAGGACTTATAAAGAGGAATGATTAAAATTCAACTAAACAAAGCTCTGGTGTTTCTGTTTGTACCTCTGACTTGATTTGCACTTGTAGATTTGTCAGAAATCGTTGGATCTTTTCCATAAAGACTCGATCCATAGAAAGATAACGGAATTTTGTTTCCGACTGGTTGATAAGTTCAGTAGCCTTTAAAAATGCCAGAAATAAGAGAGACAAAAGTAATGATTTTTCACTTTTTTTCAATTTAAATAATAGCACTCACCATCTCTTCGTATTTTTTTCCATCATGTATTTATCATACAGAATTAACTAGAAATGCCTTACAGTCCCAATCTGGGAGCAGGCTGATGGTAGATCCCATCAAATGTGTCAATACAATACATAATTTGCAAGAATGAAGCTCTGCACACCTGCTCAAAGTAGTCTGATTCCATTTTCTCCATATCAACCATGATTAAACCTTCAAAAGAGTCAATACGCTCACATTCTTTCTGAAGACGCTTGCTGAAAGACTGTATCTCTTCAGGAGAAAAGTTACCTCCCTCTGAAAATAATCTGAAAACAACCAGCAAAGAAAAGCAGTTGGCTAGAAGTCTTCCTTTTCTCAAAGACAACTTTAGCTATTATACAGATATCAGTATGAAACTGATGGAATCAGTATAATTGCAGCTTTGCGATTTAAGAACAAGAACTTTTATTTATTATACTAACTAGAAGAATAACAACATAAATTTTAATTTTACTGTTCTATTTATGCAATAAAGGCTCATACCCAGGAAGAGATAATTGTATTTACAAGCATCCCTCCAGTGGAATCTCTATACCTGCAAGCTTTGAGAAAATCCACGCTTGAATCTCGTAATTTTCCCAAAGCTTCCTCCAAATAGTTCCGGTAACTTCTCAGGGAAATCTGGATGACTTCCAGATGATTAAGCAGCTCTGAGTGCAGACTTTCAGTGAAAGAAACCAACCTAACAGCAAACATTAAAAGACGGGGAAAACGTGTAGATAGAAGAGCATACATTACGGTTCACAAGCTGCTGGCGGGAAAAACATGAACAAAACCCGAGAACCCAGTGAAAGTGTTTTAGTATTCTGAAAGCAACTCACTGAACTCCGATTGCTTTGATGAACACCCAGAAGGCACTGGCAAGCAGTAGATGCTCCTGAAAAGTATCCTTCAAAACCAATTAGTCAATTGCTATTACTGTGCAAGTTCATGACGCAGTTTTCACTGAAGAGTAACGGCACAGATAAGGCAGACTCGGAAGGCAAGCCAAGAACAAGAAAAATCTTAAGATATCAATCACAGGGAGTCTTTAACTACACAAATTCACAGCCAACAAGACCTGCCACCCACTTACTTCTCAGTCTTAGCAGCACCAAGGAAGACAGATCCCATGTCACGGATCCGCGAGCAGAAATCTTTGCTGATGGTATTTTGCTCATCACGAAGTCTGAGAAATTCATTTTCTTCCTTGCTTAGAGCTTCCATCACCCCTGCACAGTGGCACTCTAGACGCTCTTTGTGAAGCAACAGTTCCGCTGATAAGAGAATAACTCTTACAATGTGGTCATTTTTTCCTGTTTACTGCGGACTATCACAATCACAAGCCAACATATTATCGGAAGCAGGGGTAAAATAAAGCCACGCCGAATCTCAGAGGGACTTAAAAATACAACAAAGAACACGATTCTGTTTCTTTGACTTTTCTTACATTTCTGGCTTATATCAATTCAAGTTGCAAATATATTCTGTTTGCTCCCAAGCTCTCTTTTTTTCCCCTTATTTTTGGCGACTGATGACATCTCCATTACCTTTCCACCGTCCAGTCTTGTAACTAAAGTAAAGGTAAAGGGCTTTTTTTTTTTTTTTTTAAATTGAAAATGCACTTCCCTAAATTTTTGCTAAGGGGAGAAGAAAAAAAAAAAAAAGAGATTTTTGGTCCTCCTTCTGGAACGATAGTTGGGCAAATCAAGAGTCAATCAACAAATCAACTTCAAGAAAACTGCCAGGAAGGCAACCTACCTTCTTTTTTGTAAAAAGTGGAATTGAAAAATTATTTTCCTGTTCTCCCAAACAGGCTTTTTTCCACAGATTAAGCGTTAGAGGCTGACAAACCTGTCCCGAATCATTTTTCCTTCCTCAAAAGGACTTGATACTTATCCTACAAGAAAGGCCTATTATTTGTGGCCAATATATGGCTGCTCAGTGACATGTTATATGGCTAGGTCCTTCCTCTCCTATCCAGGAGCCAACCACTCACACTTTGTCTCTCCCAACTCTTCCTAATTCTTCTTCAGTAAAACTATTAAAATTTTCTGCCATGACAGATTATTGTTAAGTTAATTTCAAGGAGAATGAGCATTCACAAATGCTGACAATGGAAGCTGAATTTTACAATCAAGCCATTGAACAAAGCACTGCTGGATATTTTCCAAACATAACACAGCACAAACCAGTATGAGCTATGGAAAAAGAAGTCTCTCTTTTAAAATATAATATACAAGTAACATATTATGCTAGGAGGCAGAAGAGACTCAACTGCTTCCTATTGTTCTCTACTACTGAGCCAACTAAGCTGAACCAGACTTTGGTCAACTCATGATCATCTCTAAACGAAGGCATGCAGCACTCAGAATAAAAAAAGTAGGTACCAGCTCTAACATTGTAGATATTTGTCTTTATATGCTCCTGCCTTGACTGACACAAGTGAAAATGCAAGCTAAGTTCTGAATTCAGCTCCTCTTTCCTGGCAGCCACAATGACAGAAGAGTTGGATAAGGACTGTGTAAACCACTTCTCCAAGTGTTCGAAAAAGCAGAGGCGGATCCTATGGTTGGAAAAGAAATTATTACAGCAAGGAACAGTGAGCAAGGTGGAATATTATAATACAGACAAAAGCTTTAATTTTGCTGATCTATAAACTTATCAAAGCTTTAAATAAATAAACCAGGCTTTAAGAATTTAACTTTTGACCACAGGAAGATAGGTTTCATTATCATTTGCACAATACTGCTACTACTGTTCTGGTCAACAGAAATTATAAACAATGTTAGCATGACCGAATCGTATTTTCTTCCTTCTTTAGGATATCTTGAGTCAGGCGTCTTGCAATGTTTCGCTGAAAGTCTGTTTCTGTTCTGCAGTAACGAAGGCTGAGAAAAAAATTACTAAAGAAGGGAGAGTTTTCAAGCTTGCAAAATACTACCGAGTGCCAGGCGTTTTACCGTTATGGCTCTACAGGGAATTTGGGCAAATTACTTGCTTTCCTGTACCTGGTTTTCTTTGTAAACAATGCTTGTTTGTTAGGTACTTTGAGAGCCACGGGTAAAAAGCAACATCCAAAACGTCTCTTATTTTTAGTGATTTAAGAAAGGAATAATATCAAAACATTTCAAGAGTTTTTGGATGCTTATTCAAATGTTTCTTCCAAACATCTGAAATTTACCCATTACCTAAAGGGGAAAAAAATAAGACGATAAACTATTTTCTACTAACCATTTTTTAAGCTCTGCAAACACAGTTTCTTTTATAAGTACATGTTTCAGGTACACAGGAAGTGCTTCTTTTTTTTCATATTCAGTAAAACAATTGTCTGGGGTGCTGGTCTTTCCTGCCTCTTCCACTCCAGAAACTGTGTAAGTGTTTCCACTAGAAGTGGAAAAGATCTCAAGAGCAAATTCAGAGCTTTCCACCTTGCCACTGTTGATGAGATCCTAGGAAGCAATTGGAAATCATCATCTGTTATCTTTAAAACTGCTATACTTTAATAAGCTTTAAATTAACAGTGTACAAGTTAATGTAAGTATCTTATAGATACTAAGAATAACATTCTGGTTCCCAGTTAGAGGAACATACATTTATAAAATATGCTTGCAAGTCTCAATGTTTTAAAAAGTTTTTTGTTACAGTTATGAAATGAATTCACCTAAGTACAGATGTGAAAAAATAATGCTTGGATACAAACAGCCTAAATCACCCACCATGGGTTAAGAATACTACAATGAAAGAAAGAAAGAAAGAAAGAAAGAAGCATACTTCAGAAAATATTCTATGCAAAATGTTTTTACAAGGGTGAAAGCAATGCATAAGGAATGTTTGAGAACTGCTTTATAGACTTCAGTTGTCCATAAACAGGATCTAAAGTCCTAATCGTCCAGGCAATAAATGAAACAGTAAAGACTGATGCACGCTTTCTGTACAAACTACATTTGATCTGCTTTAAAGCATTTAGACTTACCTCCACCTGGAAGAGATTTCTCATTTCATCATGATCTTGTGCAAGACTTCCTTCACCTTCAAATTTATTCTCTTCTTCATATTCTTGTGCAAAGATTACCCCCTGTTCTATATGATCAGTTTCTTCACTTTCATGAGGAATACTCTCCCCCTCCCCTTGTTTCTCTGTTTCTTCAGTTTCTTGTGCAAAGACGTCCTCGTTCTCAGGTGTATGTGTTTCTTCATTTTCCTGCTGAATGCTATTATCCTTTTGCTCCTCTTCTTCATATTCTTGCACAAGGCTCTCAGCTTGCTGCTCTACCATGTTTTCAGCTTCTGAAACCTCAACTAATTCTTTCCAATTAAAACAAAGTTTTACCGGTCATAATCCAAAGAAATACAGATTAAAAGACAAGAAAGCAGAAAGACCTACTTGTGCCACTGATGTATTACCTTGCTCTTGAAAAGTGGTGTCTGTCTTTTCTTCCAAGTTCTAACAGGGAAAAACAAACAAACAAGAAATCCCACGATTCAAAAATAAGAATTTGCCTCCTTAGAATGAAAAATTCACATCCCTTCTCAAATTCCATCTATTTCAATAAGATAGTCTAGTCCTAAATGGATCATTTATCTTCTCAATTAACTAATAATAAATGAACTAATCATAACACTAAAATTGATTAACATAATTTTGTTGCTTTTCACTTTTCTGTTTAAAAAGGCAAGTGAATTTGCTGAAATGTACTTCACAACAACGACCAAGTATAGACTAGAGAAAGGTTTTGTGTCCCCCCGCCTCCCCGCAACTTCTAGCGGAAGCACTTCAAATCCTGTGGCCAAAACAACGTTTAAGTTTATCCAATCTGAATTTCAACGAAAGGGTAGATTCCCAAAAGTGAAAAGTTAATGCACCAGCAAGATTTTAAACCACAAGAAATTTGTCTTCTTTATACCTGTTTAAAGATTTCCTTTACATTAAAATATTGGCTGATGGATACACTATAAGAAATCAACTCCTGCAAAACAGCTTCTGGGTAAGCCATCACTTTATCCATTAGAACTTGGTTGAATATCTCATACCTGTCAAATACAAGGTCACTACTTAAGAGACAAGATTATGTATAGAAACGAAACGAAACGAAATATGACTATTATGCCTTTAAATCTGAATCTAACTTTTCCACTGATTGCATAAACCTTTTGGGCTGGAATCAATCATTGTACTGTATCTGTTCAGCCTGAATACAATGGGATCCTGGCTTATTAGTATGAATTAGTTCATTACAAATACACAGCACGCGCAGTAAGAAAAGTTTTACAATAAAGGCTTTCAGATCTTCCATTCTGGTTTGGAAACCATTCAAGACCTGTGCTTACATAAGAAACACTAGAAACAAGGTGTCAAACTAGTGTCTTTCAGTTCAGTTCTGTATCGGGCTCAGCTACGAGTGAAGCTTTTCTAATCTAGTTTTGTTGTACTTAAAAATGAAAACTAATGGTTCAAGTTCAGTCTTGGTCCAAGAAAAAGGAACCTGTCTTCATTTAGGTTCACATCTGGTTTGTCTCCTATATTAAGAAAAACACGGGAAACTTACACGTGTGTTCAAATGTTCAGAAAGATTACATTACCTCTCTGCAATCTCTCACTGTATTCTCACTCACACAAAAGGTACTTGCTCACTTTTTTTTTTTTAAAAAAGATCCTAGTGAATATGAAGAATGTTGAACCAATAGCTCTAAAAACAGTTATTTCATATTTAGCCATATATCAGTTTACAGCGTGGCATGTGTACAGGTGTATGTACTGCTCTTCTAAAACGCCTCAGATCTGGCCGAGAGAGAAGACCACCTGCATATGAAAGTATAACTTCTTCTCTGGCTACTAAATCCTCAAACCTTCTGCCAAGGTCTTCAACAAGGAGCACACTGTATGTGCCAATTTTGAGGTGATTTTCAAAGACGCTAATGCTTGATCACGAGAAATAAAACAGAAAGATTACTAAAACATATAACATACAACTTAGGCTATCTGAAAGTTATTAATAACTTCTAGTCCCTGCCACCCTGAGACAGATCAAATTTGCAAACCCAGAGCAGAGCTGATGGCAGAGATCAACTTTCTGCCCTCCACAATATCATTCAAGAATTTGAACTACTACTTTTATCTTCTGAATAAATAGCTAATCTATGACGTTGACACGGATGACATATATTCCATAATAACACGGATCCATTTTTTTTTTAAATTATATCATTATTTGTTGGTTTTCGTTACTCCTGCTTCTAAAATATAGGTGTTGCTTGCCTTAACCTGGCTTAATATGAAAAATATGTATTTTTTAATTCTTGCATGAAGTAGCAATGTTTTCCCATACCTTCACACTGCAGCGCAATAACGACTTAAATCGCATTACTAACTTTTGAATACGCTTTACTTGGCAAGTTTGCACTATAATATTCATACCCAGCTCTAATTTCATCCAAAGAAGAAACGGCTTTCTCTAAATATTTCTTCAGCTTTTCTTCAGAGCTTGCTGTTCTCATTTTATCCAAAACTATATCCAGATTAGCTTCTGTCATCTAAGACCGTATAAGAGGGGAGGAAAAAAAAAAAAAAGATTTGGTAATTACCGAAATGCTTCTCAACTATTTAGGATTCAAATAATTAATTACATACAAAAGGCTGCTTTACATACAGAACTATACTTAACAGGGCTATTTTGAAGGCAGTTAATGCATGACGATTGTGTGTTAAATGCATTTACTCTGAAGATTACACTTGTTGCTGATCACAAAAAGTGAAGTCCAGCTAAGCAAAAGAACATTCGTTAGAGTCAGACATTATGCCTCAATGAATTTAAATAGCACAGGCTGTAAGTGGCCCAGTTTTATGCATCAAATAGTTACTGAGGAGTCCCACAGTGAAAAACGCCTAACAGCTAAATATACTTCTATCTCCATTTCCACGTGGGCGCTTAGCCCGATAACTTCGGCATCAAGTAGTACTCGCTTTGAAGGTATTACAGGCGTTGCTGGCCACCAACATTATCCACCCATCCCTCTGCCAAAGGGTATGGATGAGAATACCTTCAAAGACTGGATTCGTCAAAAGGCTAGACCCATTTTACATCAGGAAGGGAAGCCACCCTACCAAGAGTGGCTAATCTGAAGATTTTCCATAGGTAACGAACACAACCTTTGACATTGCCTCCTCAAGCTCCACGATACACACATGATATGAGAACTTGACATATGAACAAGACTGCGTATCTGCATGAGATCTTCGGAGTAATAGCAAATTGTAGCTCCTTAATGCAGAAAATACAATCTTTATGACCATTCCCGTATCAAGAATAAGATATGGATGATCATTAAATGTGAATGAAGTATTTGTCTAAAAACGTACCTGGCAGGATGAAACTACCTTGTAGAAAATTCAGTATAAGTGTTAATGATTACCCTTTAATTTTTACCTGCTACAAAGCAGGTATTTTGAATTCCAAAGGCCTCTCCGCATAACAAGTCCTTTTCTTTACATCATACCATATTCTGATTTTTATGTTTTTACCCGTATTAAGTTATCTTGTTTCCATCTGCATTCATCTAATTGCTTCTTAAGTTCATCTTCTTGGTAGGAGAGTTTGAGTTGATGGACATCCCAGAGGACAATGGCCTCCTGAAAATAGCTGTAGAAGTCTCTACAATTTTGTTCATTCTGCTTAGCCAGCTCCTCCAAGTCTCTCTAAAGCAAAACAGTTAAACGAACCAGTTACTCTTAAAACGTTTGCTTGAAGATGAAATGAATGAATAAGGGGCTATCTGACATAACAAAAGACTGCCTGAAGGTAGACCACTGATATTCAACATAGTCTCTTCTATCTGAACAGGACAGTCTGACTAAACTGGATAAGACTTTTTTTCCTAAAAGCTGAGGTATCAAACTTTCTCTTTATTCTTCTGCTCCTGTAAAGCACAGAATCAGTAAGATCTCCACAGACCCCGAGATATCTGGCCATCTAGCTTTTTAAGAACAACTGTCCATTTGCTTTTATGCAAAGAATCAGAAGAGATAGGATTGAAAGAAATTTGGGAGATATTTAAATCTATCCTTCTGTCTCCAGGCAGGATGAGCTATACCTAAGTAGTCCTTGACAATCCACTATAAATATAAACCCAACAATTGTGAACTCCTCTTGAACCACAACACAGTTTTGTTTTTTTATAGATAGATATCCTATCACCCTATGGATCTCTTCCTAACATGACATCCATAGCCTAAGATGCATAGGACATGTCACACAGCAGTGCATGAAGACCAAAGTACTCCCAGAGCAACAAGAACAGATGTAATAACCATACATCCATATGATCCAGTTCTTCTTCAAACCGGCTTCGTAGTTTCTCAGTCAACTGAAGTAAGTCAGAACTCACAATTTCTTCAACCTCCTTTTTTGTGCAAACATTCCAATTCAACAGTTTACTCTGAATAAAAAGAATGGTGAGTTATCGACATGCATATGATATAAGATAAACCACTGTGTAGCTTTTAGAGAGTGTGGTTAAGCTCACTATTTCTTCTCTATTTTAAGTTGAATGTAGGCTGTGCATGTGTAAACTGAGGAATTGCTATATTCATCATACAGTAGCAGGCTGAAGCTCTGATATTTTACTTCACTAACAATCAACACCAGACTGAGGAAATGAATGTGTGCTGAAATTGCTTGTTCTTCCTACAGCTTTACTATCCAGCTTTCTCAAAATGTTTTACAGAGAGAATTAGCCCTCCAAATCTCAGGTTCTGGTAGTAAGCAGTATATTGTACACAGAGTGAAACTGAGGCAGAAAGGTGGAATTTCTTCCTCAAAAGCAGACAGATTCAGCAGAAACGCTGGAGGCTCTGACCTTGAGTTCGACTAAGTGCGTGGCAGCACTAGTAGCTGTTATTCGGTTTTCATACATTTCATGTACAAGTACCACACGTTATTGCAAAACAAAATGCGCAGTAGGTTTTCTAATAGGATAAGGGAGAGGTTAAAAAGTAATTTCAGTTGCCATCTGAGAGTTGCCTGGATCCTCAAACCAGTATTGCTACACACTGTTATCAACGCACTGTGAACAACACAGTTATCAAGAATCCTTCCAAGAACTTGCAAAACTATGATACTGACCTTGCGTAACTGCACTTCCGTCAGACATTTCTGCTGGACCTTCTCATACTGGACACGAATTTTCATCAGACACTGCGCATTGTGGGTATCTGAAGGATATGGAAGAATAGGATGTCATAGTCCAGTTGTTAGATTTCAGTATTTCATGGTGCAGTGTGAAATGGAAACATAACAGAGGACTTGTGCTGAGCCCGAAAGCATGCCAGTAGCGTCTTCACACTTATATGACATTATCAGCCAGTAAAATGAGGCACTTTTACACAAGTCTTTTTATCATTATGCTTACAGGTAGTGAGTCATTTGTAATCACTAACAAAATCTTTGCTGCTACAGAAGCTAAAAAATATTAACACAATATTTGTTCTGGGGGAACAGAAGGTAGTCACATAGAGAGGGAAGGCACACGGCAAGACTCAGGAAGGAATCACCTCAAATATTTTCCCTCTCATTCTACAAGAGCCAAGTAGAAGTATTTTTGGATGACTGGAGTAGTGATCTGGATTAAAATGAACTTTCTTTTTGTCTGCAGACTAAATGCAACCGGGCAATTACTGCTAGCCCTCACCATGCAAAAATGCTTGTGCTGGCAAAAGGGAAGCGATGCAATACGCAGCTTATTTCGGTTGTATTGTTAAGCAATTTACGAGGTACATGGAAACACGCAGAACAAAGAATATAGGAAACATATATGTTCAAAGCAAAGTCTGAGTCACTCCTGCCTGAAAAAAAAAAAAAATTGCTCGAGTTTTAGATTGTTTTTACAACTTCCCTGCTTACCTATGCTTTTGTTTAGGTTCACCAACGACTCGTACCATTCATTTATCTCCGCTTTCGTGTGCAATGGAGGCAACAGATTACTACCAAAACAGGAAACAAGAGTCAGCCATCTTCAAATATAATCCAGTCAGTTCTCAAAGGATAAAATTATGAATTCAGTGGTAACCAAACCACTGTGCTTTACTTCAGTGGTTAGAAAAGAGACTTACAGCCACATCAGCAATGAAAATACAACGTCGGCTGTTTTTCAAGGCCACTGCTTAATGACAAGGATCTAAGTGTTATCGACCTAGTTACTATATATGCTCGAAAATAAAAACTGCATTTTAAAAAGGCAATAATGTAATGAATTGCACCCATACCATCTTCTTTTTGTCAGGACGGATAGAGTTAAAATATACTAGTATGAGATCCCTTTCATCTCCTTTAAGTAGAATTTATTATACAAATTAAACTCTACCCTTAAATAACGTCTACACAAGGTCAGCAACTCTTACTTATCCACTCATCCTTGTCTGCCCTTTCTTCAGTTATGTTTTTATAGTCAATGAGATTTATTTCTGCAGTCCTGCAGTTCTAAGCCTGGATGACCCCCTGTTTAGTGTAATAACCTGTGCACTGAAAACCAAGAACATAATTTTTTCCCCTGAAAGAGAAGTCTACATAAAGAGAAGTCTACTTCTAAAGAGAAGTTTAGGGCCTTATTGCTGCATTGCTCCATTACAGCGTGCAATTGTACAAAGTGCATTCTAAGGTCAAGTCCTTCGTTAACTGTAGCTAATGCCCCGTTTTCCCATTACTGTCCTCTCTTTTTTCATACCCAAGGTGTTGCAGAAATTCTAGTCTCCTTTCATCAAGTAAAATCTGATCCGTTATCATATTTTCCATTTCTTGTTGTACAGTTGGTGGATTCTGTATTTCTTCACTTGCCATAAATTCTCTGTAGGATGCAAGAATACACTGAAGTAAATATCTATTTGGGAAAATTTCACGTTTGAAATACAAATACAAAATGTGTTTTATATGCATGAGATTAAAGAAGAACGTTAAATTTGTTTTATTAAGGAAAACGAATAAAATATTATTTTAATAAAACCCACACGTGACCACTGGTCACTTAGTGCTATTCATACTCCAAAACACCATCTGTTTCAAAATTTCAGACCTGAAACTGTGAACTGCGTAGTTCTTTTGTAGAAGCTTCCACTCCTTCACCCTATCTTGCCATTTCAATCGATGTGATAATTCTCTTTTCAACTCTGTTTTCATTAGATTAAAAAATAGCTTGGCAATTGCCCTCCGATTGGCCAATAGGGCTCTGTTAATAATCTATGCATTAAAAAATAAAAACAGGAATATAAGCAGCACGTAACACTCACAAAAAATTGCCAGCTCTGTGTTGGGCTAACAGATTACACAAGAAAGAATACAAATATTCAAGAATGCCCTGCAAAATGGAAAACGCTCTCTTGTATTACCGTGCAGATAAGTAGAAAAGATGATTTTCAGTTTGATAAAGAAGAAAGATATTCTGGGAGTATTCCAGTTTGCTGTCTTCTCACAGGCAGATGCGACTCTCAATACAAAAGACTTACCATGGCTTCATCATTCATGAACCTGTAAACGTCAGGTGGTAAGAGGAAGGAAATTTCCTCCAGCATCACAGTATACTTCCTCAGTACATCTGTTATCTGGGCAATAAAAGAATAAAAAACAAAAGAGGTGTCCGAATAACTGAAATGTCAGTTTCTTAACATAAGGAGTGATATGAATGAGAGAACTTTTTTCCATTAAAACACATACAATTGGCTGATAGACAGATTGAGAAGTGAACGTATGTCTTAAAATACTGATTTAAAGCATCGTCAGTACTGATTTTTTAAATCATTGATAAAAATTGTCCTTGAAACATTTAATTCTGTGGTTGATTTCAACTTCAACTGATTTCTTTTTAACACGTGTGATTCTCTAGACAGGCTGCAAACTGAAAGGAAGTTGGTTAGAATTTTTTATTAAGGTATTTGTAGCGAATCCACCAATGCCTGTGTTAAGCAGACGTGCGCATTTTAAGCGAACACGGTCTTCTCTGGTCATTTTCACAACTAATCAAACAAACAAAAAAAAGACTGGTGATGTTGTTGGACCTATGCGCTGTGCCTGCATTACAAAGAGAGGGCTAACTGAAGCAGCTATAACAGACATAGCTTTTGGTTGCCTGTAAGGACAAAGCAGCAAGGACTTCATTATGAATTATCCATTTATTAAACCAAACATCTACCTGTGATCTCCAGTGACTTCTATAGGTCAGGCTGAAGCATACAGAACTGCAGCATCTTTGCTACTGATACGCAATGCACGCAAACTAAAATTAGTTCAGGCACAACTGTGCATGTTCTCAGCTGCAGAATAGGTATGCCCTAAGAAAATAACTTTAGACCCGACGATGGTTTGACCTAAACGACCCTGCAGAAGTACAAAAGCAACTCACATATTCCTTGTATCTCTATTGCAGATATTTGTGGGAGAAACAAAAACTTTGTGTCTAGAAAAGAAGTATCCCTATTATGTGTGCAGAGAATAAGAGAATGATCTATTGGCAAAAAGACAGCAATCACTTATGCATCACAACCCATGGCTCTCTTCGACTTCTGTGGAAAGAAGCTACTCTTTGGCGCTGTATCCAGCATTATGAGCAAATAAAAAACTTATGCTTAATTAACAGTCTTTAAAACTACAGCTCACTTTGTCAGTTCGACGCCATTCAACCTTTCTTAAGGTTTCGTCCATTTCCCTAATCCACTTCCTTCTGGTCAAGGATTCCTGGTGGATGACATCCCACAGTTCTTCCAAACTCTGCAAGAAGGATTTATTATCAATCTCATGGAAAAACTACAAGTGAAAAAATGTAATTATATCTTAAAACTACAGCAAGACACAGAAAGATATGTTACACAGACCAAGCGGGTTGCAAACAGCAGGTACAAATAACTGAAAATGAGACACTGACATGAGCTGCCTTACTTCTATTGAGAAGCCTTCCAGAGCAGTGTGGAGCTCAATCTTTTTGAATAAAAATTCAATTTTTCTATCCGATTCCAATAGTTTTGTCAAAAGCAAATTTCCAGGCTCCAAAACAAAGGGTTCCATTTCCTAAAAAGGTGAAGAAGTCAGTCTGATCTTTTGAATATTAGTCCCTATCTTTTGTATAGGGCTCTAAACTACCTGAACTACAAAATCCAGTCTTACCCTTGCAATGCAGGCAAGCTCACGATGCATTAAGGTCAGTGCTTCATCATGACGGCCTCGCCTGCGTCCTGACAGGCGTTCCAAAATATTACTGCTTGTTTTCTCGGGAACTGTCAAGAAAGAAACGAGGATGATACAGCTTGGAACCTTTGCTGCAGAATACATAACGCATACACAATACATCGCTAAATCAATACTTGTGTGGCTTTTATAGTGATTGACAGCTCTTCATAGAAAGGAAAGGCTGGGTTAATCTAGGTTAAAAACAGTAAAGCGTACTTTTTATTTCCTTTAATTTTATTAATTTTTGATTTTCAGAAGGATAAAAGCATGGAAACTATGAACTAAAGTTCAGGTATGATGTAAACAACTGCAACTTCCAAGAGCAAGCGCTGCTTACATCATAACTGGAACTGACTGTCTAACTACGTATTTTGATAAACAACTACAATTTTACAACAACTTTTGCTCTACAGATAGACTCTCTATTTTTCAAAATTACTTAGAAATCATCAAAAATGTGTCAGGTCATCTCTGAGGTTCTTTTTGCACTTTTTTAACCTTGTTCAACTCAAACCATTATATAGCTATGGTGGCTCCTACAAATGCAAACCAGAACATCTGAGATTAATTTTACCAACAAAATCAGGCAAGGCTCTGACTTCCTCGACTGCAATTGTAGCCTCACTTTTCCAAGTCTTTTGAAACGTTGCAGCTTCCCTGAAATAGAAAGAGAAGGAAGATTTGATCTGTACTAAATATGCAAGAGACCTACAGATCAAATGAATTGGCAAAACGTAATATTTAAGTAACGACAAGCACCATCCTAACTTCAAAATATGAATGCGGTGATGGTTCATAGAATTAATATTCCTGCTTCTCAGATGAACTGGACTAATTATCAATTATTTGTCGATCACAATCTCAAACGTCCTATGATGGCATAACAACAGTAAATAACTCTTCCAAACAGTTGGGGCACTGTGTTTCTCCCCGGCAGAAATGGGAATAAGGGAGTCATTATTCAACAGAGGAGTTAGGGAGCAACAGATGGAGGCACTAATTTATTTTCTTGCTCATACACACAGCTTTTAACAGAGCTGGAAATTCCTGCAGCCATTTCTGTTGACGTTACCTGCGTGCACTGGTGTGAGATCCAAGCCAAACAGATTTAATAACGCGGTTTTCACGCTTACAAATATACAGGAAACTAATCTACGTAATAGTGGGAATATCATTATATAGTTGTTACTACATAATCATATAAACAAAAAGCACGGCGTAAACTATAGCTCAAAAATATATATCGAACTGGGCTTTTGTCCAGATCGCTTTGAAGAATGAAGACGGGCAATACATTTCAAAAATGAAAACAATACATAGACCTCAACGCATATTAGCCTGTTAACCCTCACATTAATGAGCTGCAGCTCAGTATACCCATTTAACAGCTGTGATAAAGGAGACAAGTCTAGTATGGCTAAAGTTAGTGCTTTAACCAAGAATTCAAGACCATCTAGCTCCCAGTCCAAATCTTACAGCTTCACTGCTACCGTCATAAACATATATAATCATGTATTTATACTTCTGTTCTATACCTGCACAACACTGTTTTTTCTGTGAAGTCATTATAGGGCACTCTTTCAATGCACTTCTGGTAATGCAATAATGGCCTTGCATCCGTACGAACTTCTGAGACCTTAACCAAAGGTATCCTTTCACTCATCACAGAAAACTTAGCCTTGCTCCTTACTTCATCCAAAGAGCGTACTAAATGAACCTTCAAAAAAACATAATTAAAATGGTTAGAGTTTTTTCCAAACCAATTGACCGGAGTGGAAGAATAACAAAAGAATTAATAAAAACTGAGGGGTAAAGGTAGCAGAAGAGAAAGGTAAAATAGCCAACATCACTTTGCACACACATAACAATTTTCATCCAAGATTCTTTTCAAAATGGGCAAAGAAAGATATCTCTTTCCTCAAAGGGAAAAACTGAAGCAAATTGAACTAACTGCATGCCTTGCTTATGGCTACAAGGAAAGTCAACAGCAGAGTCAGAAACATGACTTTGATAATCCTGGAGTCAAACCACACACGTTAAGTCACACCGGTTTTCCTTTTAAAAACAAAACCCTACATGACACTGTGCTAGCCATCTTCTGAGTCTGGCTTACAGCACCTCTTAATCTATCTTTTACTGCTGTGTTTTCATCATACCGATTCTGCCTTCAGCTAATATATCCTGATATATACGGGAGACACAGGAAAATTAATACCATTAGGCAGCACAGCCTGAAAAATAACAATTATTTTCTGCTAAAAACAAACAGAATATTGAAAGGTTCAAATCAGCCTCTGGTTTAACTTCACAGCTGCTAAGAGCCAGGAAACAACTGACCAACCTAAGTTAATAGTTTGGCTTTTGCCACTCGTGGGTTTTCTAATACCTCATCTTCAAAGATCTGCTTGTAGACTTCACCGCTGGGGACAAGGCGGACAGCCCCCACTGGCAGCATGTCTTCCAGCGCAACCCGCTCCTCAGCCCGCTTCCAGAACAATCTCCGTCTACCTGCCGTGGGAGAAAGAGAGAGGCGTTTCACTTTTACAGGATACGCCTGATGGCGCGACTGCAAACCGACCACAAAGCTTCCAGCACCTGCTAAAACGGCCGCGTGTGGTAAAAACGCCTCCTCGATGATTTACCAACTGCTTCTGGCGGCGGTGGAGCCAAGGGGGAAGAGAGCGTCCGCCGCCTCAGCCT